GATCCTACAACAACCAAGGCATAGCTACAACAAGACTGTGCACAAAGCCCACGAGGGGGTGCACCAAGAGTGTCCACCTCAGGTAACTGGGGAGGCTGAGCCACTGGGCCCTACAGGACACCTAGCACACAAAGCCACTCTATCAACACAGGGAAGCAGCCAAAATGCGGAGACAAAGAAACAGGTCACAAATGGCAGAAATGGAGGAAAGCAAATGACTGGATATAGAGTTCAAGGCCACGTTTATAAGGTTTTTCAAGAATTTTATGGAAACCGCCGATAAATTTAATGAGTCCCTCAATAAGTATAGTGAGACCATGGAGGACATGAAAAAGGACCAACTAGAAATTAAGCATACACTGACTGAAATAAAGAATAATCTACGGAGATCCAACAGCAGACAAGAGGATCCCAAAAATCAAGTCAAAGATTTGAAATACAAAGAAACAAAAAATACCCAACTGAAAAAGAAAAAAGAAAAGAGATTCCAAAAATATGAAGATAGTGTAAGGAGCCTCTGGGACAACTTCAAGCGTACCAACATCAGAATTATAGGGGTACCAGAAGAAGAGAGAGGGCAAGATATTGAAAACCTATTTGAAGAAATAATGACAGAAAACTTCCCCCACCTGGTGAAAGAAATAGACTTCCAAGTCCAGGAAGCGCAGAGAACCCCAAACAAAAGGAATCCAAAGAGGACCACACCAAGACACATCATAATTAAAATGCCAAGAGCAAAAGACAAAGAGAGAATCTTAAAAGCAGCAAGAGAAAGACAGTCAGTTACCTACAAGGGAGTACCCATACGACTGTCAGCTGATTTCTCAACAGAAACCATGCAGGCCAGAAGGGAGTGGCAAGAAATATTCAAAGTGATGAATAGCATGAACCTGCAACCAAGATTACTTTATCCAGCAAAGTTATCATTCAGAATAGAAGGTCAGAGAAAGAGCTTCACAGATAAGAAAAAGCTAAAGGAGTTCATCACCACCAAACCAGCATTATATGAAATGCTGAAAGGTATTCTTTAAGAAGAGGAAGAAGAAAAAGGAACTCTTACCATTTGCCACAGCATGGATGGAACTGGAGAGCGGATAAATACCACATGATCTCACTCATTTGTGGAATATAATGAACAACATAAACTGATGAACAAGGACTGATCCAGAGACGGAGAGGCATTGATTGGACTGTCGGGCTTTGGAGGGAGGGGAGGGGAGGGTGGGGGTAAGGGGGAAAGATCAACCAAAGAACTTACATGCAGGCATATAGGCCTAACCAATGGACACGGACAACGGGGGTGGGGGGGGGGCGGTGAGGGCATGAGCGGGGGGGGGGGGGGTAGAGGGTAACGTGGGGCTAAGGACACATATGTAATATCTTAATCAATAAAAATGTATTAAAAAATAAATTAATTAATTTAAAAAAAAAAAGATTACTTTATCCAGCAAAGCTATCATTCAGAACTGAAGGTCAGATAAAGAGCTTCACAGATGGGGAAAAGCTAAAGGAATTCATCACCACCAAACCAGTATTATATGAAATGCTGAAAGGTATCCTTTAAGAAGAGGAAGAAGAAGAAAAAGGTAAAGATACAAATTATGAACAACAAACATGCATCTATCAACAAGTGAATCTAAGAATCAAGTGAATAAATAATCTGGTGATCATAATAGAATCAGGGACATAGAAAGGGAATGGACTGGCTGTTCTTGGGGGGGAGAGGGGTGTGGGAGATGCGGGAAGAGACTGGACAAAAATCGTGCACCTATGGATGAGGACAGTGGGTGGGGAATGGGGGCGGAGGGTGGGGCGGGAACTGGGAGGAGGGGAGTTGTGGGGGGAGAAAAGAGGAACAGATGTGGTGGTCTGAACAATAAAGATTTGGTTGAGAAAAGGAGAAAAAAAAGGGGAAAAAAAAGAAAAAGAAAAATACAATCCTTGACTAATAGGTGACTCACACACACAGTACCTGCCCCCTTTCCTTTCTATCCTCTCCCACATGGAATCGGTGAGGGGTAGCCTCAATTAAGAATAATGGAATATTCAAAAGAGCAATGCCTAAAATAAAACAAATTTATTGTTTCTTTTGCCAACAAAAAATTTCAAAGGTAGAAAGAACAAATGATGTGGTATGTGGCTTCACAATGTCACTAAGAACCCAGACATTATCCACCTTGCTGTTCCTCTGCAGCATAGGGCTGCTTTCTCAGGGTCCAATGTGGCAGCTCAAGCTACATCCATTACTTCAGATTCCAACTAACAGGAAGGAGGAAGGAATAAAGAAGGATGCTTCCCTTTATTTTAAGGACATTTACAGAAACTGAACATGGTATTTCAGTGACAGGGTTTTCTTACTCGTTAAAAAAAGGAAAAACAGACATTGGGGGACACATAGCTGTCACTACGGCATTTTCTCACCACACTGTGATAGGAGAATGTTGTTCTCATACTCAGGAACTTTCAGAGAATGTGTGGAATTTTCTGGAAAAAGAACAATGTATTTAAAAACAAACAAGAACAGTCTTAAAGGACTTGATCCCAGGCAATAGTCTCTACCCCTGAAAACTTTGTTATGCCCCAATTTGTTCTTTTGTGAAAAGGACTCCAGTGTTGTAGTTAACAGTACAGAGTCTGAGTGGCCACTTTTGGCCAAAATGGAGTAACAGGGACTACAGTAAATCTCCCACTTTAACTGACTAAAAATCTGGGGAAAAATATGAAGCCACAGTTTTTAGACAGTAGACAAGAGGCCGTGAAGGACAGCAATCCATCAAAGAAAGGAAGCAAAGGAAGTGAGTACAGGCATATCTTGGAGACATTGCAGGTTTGGTACCAGACCATCACAACACAGTGAATATTGCAATAAAGCAAGTCAGGTGAATTTTTTGGATTCCTGTGCAAATAAGTTATGTTTATACTCTACTGTAGTGTATTAAATATGCAAAAGCATTATGCCTAATAAACAATGTACACACCTTAATTAAAAATATTTTATTGCTAAAATAATGCTAACCACCAATGAGCCATCAGCAAGTCATAATCTTTTTTCTGGTAGAGGGTCTTGCCTCGATGTTGAAGGATATTCTTTAAGAAGAGGAAGAGGAAGGAGAAGGATCAAAAATATGGATAAAATCGCAGTAAATAAGTATCTATCAACAACTGAATCTAAAAATCAAAATAAACGAACAAGGAATCTGATGAACAAAATAAACTGATGAATAAAATAGAACCAGAGTCATGGAAACATGGAACAGACTGATGAATCTCAGAGAGAAGGGGAGATGGGGGGTAGAAATAGATTAGCCAAAGAACTTATATGCATATATGTATTCCCTGTGGACACAGACTATAGGGGGTGAAGGCCTGGGGTGGGGTAGGAACAAGGTGGAGGGGAGCAATGGGGGGAGGGGGGAGGAGAGAAAGGGAGACATCTGTAATACTCTCAACAATGAAGATTTAATTTAAACAATGTCTGATTTAAACCTAAATACAGAGTGGGGCAAAAGTAAGTTTACAGTTGTTTGTATGGAAAAAGACATGCAGATTATGATTATTACAATAGCTTTACTAACTGCTTTTTGAGTACTCACAACTGCAAACCTACTTCTGGCCCACCCTTTATATATCTACTAGAGGCCCGATGCACAAAGATTCATGCAAGAATGGGCCTTCCTTCCCCTGGTTCCATCTTTCCACCTTTGCTCATCCCGGAGCCATCTTTCCGCCTTCCCACGCTGGCTTCCCAGAGGCCCGGAGTGGCCGGGGCGGTGCAGAAAGCCTGCAATGACACAAGCGTCCTGCCCCACCCCCGGCCACTCAGTGCCTGTGTATGCAAATTAGCCTGCTATCTTTGTTGGGTTAATTTGCATACCCACTCCAGATTGGCTGGTGGGCATCATGATGGTACAGTCAATTTGCATCTTTCTCTTTTTTAGTGTAGACAATTCCTTTTAATGTAAGTGGACTTAATGCTCCAATTTAAAAAACACAAAAATTGTCTAGATTGAAGTATCAAAACCCACCATATGCTCCTTATAAGAAGTTGATTTGTTGAGGTAGAAGGAAAAAGATATAGTACCTGTGTGTGTATGTGTGTGTGTATATATGTTTGTGTGTGTGTGTATATATATATATATATATATATATATATATATATATTTATATTTCACTATTTCATACCAGGATATGGCATGTACCAACCAAAGACAAAACCTCTGTAACAAAAACATAAGCATTTACTACACACACATCTGAGCTGACTGATGACCTGTTCTGCAGCTCTAGACTGTCCTCAGCTAGGATGACTGGGGTAACCTGACTCTGCTCCATGTGTCACTCAACCAGGTTAGCCTGAGGATGGTCTCATGGTGATGGAAAATGTCCAAGAAAGAGAGTTCCACTGAGCAAGCCCATTTCAAGCCTCTGCTTCAAAGGGTGTCTTGAGGTCAAAGTCAAAAGCAGAGCAGGTCAACTCATGGTAGGCAGGCATTAGCAAGTTACATAGCAAACAGTGTGAACACAAAAGGTGTAACTAATGTAAGGGTGAGAATTAGGGCCAAACAATACAATCTACTTACTAGCAGATCAAAAAACCCTGAAGCAACTAGAGTTAATAAAAACAAAAAGGGACATTCCATAATGATAAAAATGATTTTTTTAAAAGAACTTTCAGTTTATAGGCACCTAACCACATATCCTCTATAGGAGCAAAAGACAAGTCCACAAATAGGGCGAAAGATTTACCACATCTCTCTCAATAATGGACACAATAAACAGATTTTTTAAAGTCTGTAAGGATATAGAAGATTTTAACAATTAACAAACTAGTCTAACATTTAGAAAACACTGTTCTCAATGACGGCAGAATGTACATTCTTTTCTAATGGAAATGGAATATTTATGAAAAGTGATCATGTACTGAGTACACAACTGGTTGTAATAAACTTGTAAGAATTGACATCTTAAGAGCACATTTTCTGACCACATTGCAATTAAGCCAGAAATCAGTAAGAAAAAGTTAACTATCTCCAACTGCATGCAAGAGCAACCTGGAGAGACTTTGACAGCTCAGGTCAGCATAATACCTGCAGCTGCCACTCGCCTTTCCTATATCTCAGGACCTGGGGTTGGGAGCCTTCCACCTGGGTTCATGCAGGTGGATGTACTGATCAACTTTTTGGTTTAGAGCTTTCACCCTTTTTTCCTATAGGTCGCCTCCATGTTTCCTGGCAGTGTCTGATAATGACATAGCTGCGGATACCAGCTTGTTGCTGCCCGTTTTAGAATAAGGTAAAGTTAGATGTTGAAAACAACCTGACCCTCCACTTCCCTTTCCCATCAGATCTGAACACGGATCTTGGTGGTCGTAGAGAGGAAAAGTAAGAGTGAAGCTGGCCTCACAGTGCTTGTAGTCTGTGGGCTAGTTTCAAACAAGGTTTTTAAAAAAAGATAACTAGAAAATGGCACACTTGGTAATTAAACACTGTGTGTATAAAACCACATGGATCCAAGGAAAATAGTCACAATGAAAAATGAGAAAAAAAAGCTTGAACAAGTAGATGATGAAACCGGAAGGAAAAACTACACGCACCTGGTGCCTATGTTGCACGTATCGAATTAGCGAAGAAAGGCAGGTCAAACAAACATCGCTGAGAGGATGGTAACGACTGGGATGAACAGCTGGAAGAAAGGCAGCACTTTAACCACAACCCCTTCCCACGCGTCTGCATGGCCTTTACCTTGGCGTCTACCAGCCCGGCAGCCAAGTCCGCAGTGAAATGTCCATAACGTTCAGGAGGCGGGAGGAGGGCCGGGCATCAATCATCAGTTCCCCCTCCAGACCGCTTCTCGGGTTCCCAACCCAGCGGTTCTCAACCTGTGGGTCGCGACCCCTTTGGCGGTCGACCCTTTCACAGGGGTCGCCTAAGACCATCCTGCATATCAGATATTTACATGACGATTCATAACAGCAGCAACATTACAGTTATGAAGTAGCAACGAAAATAATTTTATGGTTGGGTCACAACATGAGGAACTGTATTTAAAGAGCCAGGAGGTTGAGAACCACTGCGACCGCCGGTTGAATTTCCACTTGCAAGCCTCACAGGTCACTCCAAGGTCATGTCCAAAACAGAATCCTTGGTTTCCCTCCAAGGCCCATTCCTCCCAAGTTCCTCCCATCTCAGAAAAGGGCACCACTGTTCACCCAGTTGCTTGAGTCAAAATCCAGGGCGCGCCAGCCAGGATGGAGGGCCTAGAAAAGACAGCCTCCCGCCATAAGCCAGGAACCCGGGCAGAGCTCCTTACACACGATGCTCAGACGCTGGGCACCGCGCAGCTGGGCTGTGACCCCCAGACAAAGGCGCCGGGCCCTCCACACCTGCGGGGACTTCCCGATAGGCCCACCCGGAGGCCGGCCCGGATCTGCGGTACCCCCCCCCAGAGGGGGCCCCAGGGGCCCGCACAGGTGGAAGCCCTTGGGCCTCAGCTGCCCCATCAGCCCCGCAGGTAATGGCAGCCCCAGGGCCAACCGCCCCGGGGAGCCGACTGAGCCCACGGGCCGCGGGTCTGACTGCCAACCTGATCAGGAACGTAGCTCCTGTTTCGGAAGATGTTAGCGGGAAGCGGGGAGCTGGACACTTGACTTACGGTGACTTCACAGCCCAAGCTCAGGCCGGGCCTCGCACTGACCAGGCCAGCGTCTCTCAAGATGGAGGCCGGGCTGAGGACGCGCCTGCGGGCCGGGGGCGTGGCCGGGGGCGTGGCCTCCGAGGCTCCCTCAGCTGCCTGGAGGCTGCAGTGAAAGCCCAACCCCAACCTTAGCTTGCAGCAGCACATCTGAAATGTGCCTTTTAGGCTGTACAGTACTACCTGCTTGATTCTGCTTTGGTTCTTATAAAAATAGTAAGGATAGCCTAGCCGGGGTGGCTCAGTGGTTGAGCGTCCACCAGGTGGTCACGGTTCCATTTCAGTCAGGGCACAGGCCCAGGCTGTGGGCTCGATCCCCAGTAGGGGGCGTGCAGGAGGCAGCCAATCCATGATTCTCTCTCATCATTGATGTTTCTCTCTCTCTTTCCCTCTTCCTTCCTCTCTGAAATCAATAAAAATATTTTATTTTTTAAAATATATTTTATTGATTTTTTAGAGAGGAAGGGAGAGGGATAGAGAGCCAGAAACATCGATGAGAAAGAAACATTGATCAGCTGCCTCCTGCACACGCCCCACCGGGGATGTGCCCGCAACCAAGGTACATGTCCCCTACCGGAATCGAACCTGGGACCCCTGAGTCCACAGGCTGATGCTCTATTCACTGAGCCAAACCGGTTAGGGCTAAAAATATTTTAAAAATAAATTAGAGAAAGCACATTCTAACCTGGATGAGAGTTGTACACCCTGGGAGCTAACATTGGAATGCAGTCTATCCTCCTTTCTTGAGAATTGCCTATCATTAAGGAAAGATTTACAATCTTGTGGTTGAAGCAATCTATGACCCCACTCCCACCCTCCAGCCCGCATTGCCTGTAACCATTATACCTTGCCTACTTTCCCATGCCTATAATTCTTGCTTTCTTTGTCCTTTTATGTGATATGAACAGCTGGCTTATGGAGAGGGGTAGAGCAGATTTTCGTGAGTGACCTGCTCCTCTCACCCATACTGCTGGCATTATTGGAATAAATGCTCATATATGATTCAACCCTGTCTCTGCTTAATTGGCTCAAGTAGTGACAAGCAGCCCAGACCCACTGGTTGTCTGGTTACACTTGTACTGCTTCCCTACACCATTATGTATCTTTATTCATATTGTCCCTACTGCCAAGCTTACCTACTTCCCACCCCCAACTTTCACCTGGCTAAATTCTTTTGTTGGTGTAAGACGTGGTTCAGGAGGCCTTTTTTGGTCATTACCACCTTTTCCTTACCACTAGACTGGATTAAGTATTTCCTCCTCTGGTTTTATATGTTCCTTCAAATAAACCTGTTACTACTATACTAGGGGCCCAGTGCGTGAACTCATGCACCTTGAAAGGAACTGTGGGCCACGAGGCTGTGGTGGGCACAGGGGTGGGTCTCAGCCCATCCTCCACGCCCCTGCCTGACCCCTTGGGCCGCAGCCCCTGGTCCCCTGTCTGCCGGCAGCCCTGCTCCCACCACCACCACTCCCACACGCTGATGGCTCTGGCCCCACTTGCACCCGCTGATGGCACATAGTGATTGGGGCCAGCACCAGCAGTGGGTGGGAGTGGGGCATCACCATAAGGGGGTGTGAGTGGCAGCTACTGCCCTGATCGCCCCTGAGGAGCAGAGGGAGGTGAAGAAGCCCTGAGGGACGATCTGGGCCAGCAGCCACAACTCGCACCTGCTGACAGCGCCAGCAGTGGGTGAAAGCGCTGGGCGGGACCACAGCACGCAGGAGCAAAGAACTTTCAGAACCACCAGAGGCTTGCCCGATGACAGCAACCAGCGCCCCACCTTGGTCTGGCGCCCCTGTTCACCTGCTCCACCATCCTGTTGCGGCCGACGTCCGCCCCCCTGGTGGTCAGCGTACGTCATAGTGATCGGTTGTCGGTCTATTTGCATATTAGCCTTTCATTATATAGGATTAGCTACATTGGTTTTAATGACCTATTTTGTTTTGTAGAGTTTTTAATTTCTTCTTCCCCCATCTAGTTGTAATATACTTGAGGATGAGGCCACATCTAACTCATCTCTTGTTCCTGGTTGTCTTGCTTACTACAATGCTTGGCACAACTGGTTGGTTAAATAATAGTCAGAAGCTACAGACCCATCAACTCTTAATAAGGCAGTTGGCTGCATTTTTTTTTTCTGACCCCGCTGAATTACCTGGAATGTACCTCCCACTCATCAGTTGATAGTACTTAACACAAATCTTGAAGGTGACTTGGACCAGGATGGTGATAGTGTAGGCTGATCCTTGAGATGTTTATCCTTCTCCTCCTAACTTCCATCTGGGACCCTATTTTGACCCTTGATATAGCCGTACTAAACTGGTTGGCACCCACTGGTAGAATTCACAAGTGAAGCCATTTGGTCCTGAACTTGTACTTTTTGGAAATTTTTTAATGGTTGTTTCAATTTTCTCACTGTTGATCAGTCTACTTCGATTTTCCAGGTCTTTGTAATTTAGTCTAAGAGGGTTATATATTTCTAAGAACTTGCCCATTTTTCTAGGTTATTGAATTTGGTGGCATTTAGTCTTTCATAGTATTCTTTTTTTTAATTGACTTTTTAAATATGTGCCCTGACTGGGAATCAAACCTGCAAACTTGCAGTGCACAGGATGACACTCAACCAACTGAACTACTCTTTAGTTCTTTAAGATATAATTTTAGGTTGTTTATTTGGTTCAACATACACAAATCAATCAATATGATACACCACATAAACAAAATACAGGATACAAATCATATGATCATTATCAATAGATATTTAAAAAAGCATTTGACAAGATATCCATTTATGATTAAAACATAATAAAATGGGTATAGAAGGAAAGTAACTCAACATAATAAAGGTCATATATGACAAACCCCCAGCTAATATGGTGAAGAACTGAAGGCTTTTACTCTATAATCAGGAACAAGACAAGGATGCCACCTCCTGCCACTGTTATTCAATATCATGCTGGAAGTCCTAGCCAGAGCAATAAGGCAAGAGAAAGAAGTAAAAAGCATCCAAACTGATAATAAAGAAGTACAATTGTCACTCTTTGCAGATGACATGATTTTTATATAAAAAAACCCTAAAGACTCTACCAAAAACTATTAGAAATAATAAACAAATACAGTACAGTTTTAGGATACAAAATCAATGTATAAAAATCCATCCCATTCCTATATACTAAATGAAATTTCAGAAAAAGAAATAAGAAAAGACAATTTCTTTTGCAATTGCTACAAAAAGAATAAAATACCACGGAATAAATTTAACAAAAAATGTGAAAGACCTATTCATTGAAAACTTCAAAACATTGTTAAAAAAAAATTGAAAAAGACATAAAGAAATGGGAAAAGACATGACATGTCTATATATTGGAAGAATCAACATATTTAAAATGGCCATATTACCCAAAGCAATATACAGATTTAATACCCA